GGAGGACCTTTCCTTGGATGCTCCTTTTCTGACAGTCTTTCCTTGAAATTTCTTTTTCTCTCATTGGGGGTAATTTCATTAGATTCACCTTTTCTTTTCATGGTGCTGGCGGAAAAAACCAATGCAAAATAATGGTCCATTTATTCTATGCACCATTTCTTTCCTTTTGAAACATTATTTGAAGCAACCTGTCATGCGTATTCCACAGGTGCAAAATATAGGTTTGAAATGGATGAATTACAAGCAAATATTTTTTTACAAGCAAATATTTGTGTGTGTGTTGTACCTATGCCCCCTTGGGTTAATATAATAACACTGAAGCTGTTGTTTTTACGGGGGTACTGTTCTAATGATCAGAACTTTATTTTGGATCTTGTTAACCCTAACCCTTCCAGACCTCTTAAACTTCACCAGGAGGTTTGGAAAGGAGATTTAAGGTAGGTAGAATCCAAAGAGTTTCTTCTTTAGGGAACAATGCCTCTGAAAGTATTGAAAGAAAAAATGTGCCATTGGTTTCCTGCACATCTGAGGACCCAGGAAGATTCATAACTAATGTGTCTGGGAGATGAGAACTAACTAAAAGAGATTTTTCCTTGTGTTGTCATTTACGTGTGTAAATTATGATTGATATTGGATTAGCCCTTGAAGTGAACTATGCAAATGTCACTGGATCAGATAAGAACCGGAGGGGCTCAACGTTTCGGACAGTGTGCTCTGTCCGTCGTCAGGAACACACTGTCCGAAACGTTGAGCCTCTCCGGTTCTTATCAGAACNAGTCGTCTGTCACCATGAAGAGCTTGAAAGTCCGTCACTGGATCACATGAGCAATGCTTTAGAAGGCATTATATATACACTGTTGTATATACTTTTGTTCGTACCCAAAAGACTGCTTTATAGTTGGTCACATGATTAAAATGTTGATGTGTGATCGTCCCCCACATGATTTATACAGTTGTTGCTGAAGAACATTGGTAACTTTGCAACCAGAATTTAAATGATAGAAGTTTGATTTGGTCGCTGACCTGGCCTTTCTTGATTGGGTCAGTCCATGCATGATTGTCACATGCAACAATTGACATTTGTGCCTTTTATGTTGCAGGTTTTACATGAAGGTTGTGCAATGACTGTGAACCAGTGGTGTCTGTAATCAAGTCAAACACAAATCCTTGCAAGTCCATCACAAGTTATCCAGTCTTAAACCTTGTCTCAGGCTATTCAAATGAACTGACAAAAGCATTCTTTTGTTATTGTTTACCCTATGACTTATGACTGGTTTTGTGGTTGATTGGACTACACCACTGCCTGGCACTAACCCAAAACACTTGGCAGGAGTGAGATTTGTAAGGATCTTTCAGAATTTGCTCATCAGAATTTTCCTGATATCAGGATTTTTCAAACAGTCTCTTTTAATGTCTGGAAAAACCTGAGCTTACTATGAGGGTGTTTTTATGTCAAATTTGATGTTTAACAAGAGAAACGGGTATTTTAAGGGGTGCTGATACATGTAGGCAAACAAATTTATTTATAACGTGCTCTAAACTGCTGTGGAGCCTTCCAAACCCCCAAGTCATTATTTTGTGAATATTTTATTTTCCTCCAATCTCGCCCCTGGCTTGAGCGTCCATCAGCCATCAGTTTCTGGAATTCATCATCAGGGGACAAAACTTTAATAAACCAGCCACAAACTTCCAACAAAATCAGTTGCATGTCACATGAACGCAAATCCTCTGTAGTTGTATTTCCACAAAATGAAGAGTATTATGCCACGAAAACAAAAAAAAATGGACTTCAAGAACAACTGATTTCAGCTCTCCCATGGAATAATTTAATCAACCAATGTATCTTGGAAGAAAGCTGGAGAACTACATGTAACTAAACTGTTTAGCACCACAAAGGAATAAAAAATGCTTTATGTTAATTTGTAAAAATCAAATGCATGTAATATTGGCATTGGTCTCAACTTTGTTTGGAACTGTCCCATCTGTGTATACTTGGCAAATTTTGACAAATGTTTCTCATTCTCCAGTTTTTGTGGCTCTTCCAGCAAAACTCCTCGGACACCAACAAAAACTACATTCTTCTGAGCGTGTATTGCCCATGAGAATGGTTTGCTGATTAACTGCAGCAATTTTGGTACATGTTGTTGGGCTGTTACAACTGCAACCATGGCAACACTATACATGTAGTTGGGATAGTCCTAACTAAAGTTGTGACATACAAGTTACACTGTGTTAGTGGACCTTAAATCCTAAATCTAAATGCATTTTAAAACCCAAGATCATGTACTTGGTAGAAACATTTTTTATTTATCCTTTTGTAATACAAATATAAAGTGTGCATTAAAACTGTGTGATCCAACCCGTCATTATATTAAACTACCGAACAAACATTGACAATATAGTAACCATAATGGCAAGTTACGTAAGCTTCTGTTTCCAAGGCAAACATGTGTATATGAATCCATGTACATGACCATTGAGCACTCAAAGATGCCAGGTAATGGTGAATGCATGTAACCAGACTGTTTCTGCATTAAGGCTAGCCTTGGTCAAGGCCTTTGTCATCAGCTGTCTTACCAGCTTACAGCAAGCAGCTTACCAGCAAGGTGGCTGTACCTTTCACAACACACCAATGTGCAAGCAGGGGAGCAAGTTGTCTATCTGCAGTCTGTGCAGTTTAAATATAAAGGGCAAATAGTGACCTCATATAGCCATTATGCCATGCAAATCAGGTGGACCTGTGTTCAGCTGATTTGCATATCATGGTCACACTGTACACAGCCAATGAGCATGCAGAGATGTTGGTCACCAAGTTAAGCTAGCACAAAGCAGGCTTAACAAACATCTTGACTAAGGTTACATTAGAACTGATATAATTTGTGAGTGTGCCCAGTGGCTAAACAATCCTGCTGCCTCAGAAGAGGTTCAACTATATTTCAAAGCAATACAGTGGTGGTTATTTCAGGACTGATTAGTTTTGGTACCCTTGTTTACACAACAAAACCTTGTGTTGTAGGAAAACAGGCAAATTCAACTCCATGTGTATGTGTTCTTGAAAAGGAGCATGTGAAATGCTGGAACTACACAGGAATTTTGAAACAACTGGGAAAAAGCACAGTCGTCTGTGGAAAGGATATCGGAATCTTCATGTGAATTAAGTGGTTTAAAGCTAATAAGGATAAAATAATAAACCTTGAGTAGATCCTTTTGGTTAGTTAATACTGCTGTTTCTTAGTTCCTGAAATGATGACTTGAGTCATCAGTGGACAGTGAGGCTAATGCTGTAATAAGTAATCATTTGTGCAAATAAAAGAATAGTTTTAAGAAAGAAGAAACCTTTTTTCAAAATGCCACACGTCTTCCTCTTGTTAATGTGCCCAAAGGTTGTACTGTATGGCCACGTGTGATCTTAAGTAACAATGGATAAAATTTGTAAATTGCTATTCTGTGTGTATCATGAATGCTACTGATGGCATAAATAGAAATTCAGAGTTTTACACCCTGTTCTTAATGCAAGTGATTTCTTAAGAAAGTCACATCGATTTAATACTCGAATTCCGCCTTGCGTATGTCAAATAAGACTATACATACATGCACCTGACAGTGCACTAAGTATGCACTCCCTCCAGTCAGACTGTCCCCGCCCCCACTGTTTCCTCTTCAGGATTTTAATCAGTATTTAGTCAAAGATATTTTCCATTTGGTAGTGCCTATTACTGATTACATTCAACCCTTTAGTCATGAAAATATGTAGGATTTGATTTCTGGAAGACAAATTTGTGCCAAGTTGTGGTGACTTTTGGATGTGCCTTTTTGTATGGTCATTCCCCACACTAATGCCAAAATCTGACATGTACATGAACTTCTACCACCATAATTGAGCCCACGAATCAGTCTTTAAAAACATTATTAAAAATACAGCTGCTTGTATTGAGTATATAAATCCTCCCATGTAATGCAACCACCATCTTGAAGTAATGAAATGAAAATATCTCTGATAAAACTTCCTAAAGTTCCTTTAAAACTTCTGAAACTGGCCAATACAACCCGGCATTACAATGGAATATCAACCTGACCACCAAAATTTGTAAAGTACATGCAGCTTAAAACCTATCATACTGAAATGGGAGGATTGAGCTCTGTTAGGGTCAACTGCAGAAAGGCCAAGCCCTCTGTTCCTGAGTGAAGATAATTTGAAATTCTGGCAAATTACATGTACATTGCGGGATTGCCATTGCGAGTAATGCATTTCAAATGCTACACACTTTGGGAGGAAAGCATTTCACATACAGATGTCTCTTGACACCCTCTGCACAAACCAGATGAGACTGATCTGAATAATTCTTGACGTTTTACCGACCAAATTTGACTTTCCAGGACACTTTGTTGCTTTCAGAAATAGGTCACTAAAGGGAAAAAAATCAGTGACATATATATATATAGAATTCTTTCCAAAAATTCGTGGCAATACTCATCCACACTTCATTTATGTTGCTGTGCTCTGTTTACGGAGACCAAACCACAGTATTCATTTATTTCCTGTTTTCTTGATTCTGGCCATCCTGACTTTCAGCCACAGGCGCTGAATTGTGAGTTCTTACAGGCTTATGCACAAATGTGACCTGTCATGAGAAAATGAGTGTACAGTTGCATTCCGCTATTTCCTATTTGGACGGTTCAAAGTCAAAATACTGAAGCGGAAGTCAGTGTCGGAGTTTGGTAATATTTGGAAAGAGTAACCTTTCTCCTATTTAATTGCAAATATCGCAAGATCATATATTTAAAAACGTCATTTGTTTCAGCAATTTTGATGACAGAATTATTCATGCCTGGTCAGAAATGTTGAAACAATGTCGGAAACAAAGACACAAAGCTGCCAGAATAATGTCACATTGTTACCATGTACTTTTACCCTGTGTTCCATGTAAATACCACCGGAAATCTCTTTTTCAGCTGAATTGAAATCTACCAATTTCTCAATATTTGACAACTCAAACTTCCAGCTTTTTTGCTGTGACAGTTCACTTAAGTGCTGAAGCGGTGCTCAGTAATTTATGCTCCACACAACAAACCAACTGACCAATAAAACTAAATCATCACAAGAGACTATTTCAACAAGTATCAAGAGAAAAGATCAAACAGAGAGAAGATTGAACTGGAGTGTAACCCTCAGCCTTACCATATTTGTGTTGTTTGTGGTAATGTTCATATTATGTACAATATTCAAATTCTGAGTTTTAAATCACCTCTTACTTGTTAAAAACTCTTTGATGCACTTGGACAGCAAGCAAAGTCTGTTGGTGAAATAATTCCACTTGTAGGAACTGTTCTCGTCAAGTCAGCTTTTTGGCCGATGGTTGGTAGTAGAGAATGACAATACAACCTACAGCCCGCAGGGAGTTTGTGAATACATAGCTGAAAACAACTGCGAACAAACAAGAGTGATCTTAACTACTGGGTACTTAACACTGCTTAGTTTTAATTTGGGTAGACCCTCTGAAGTGTTTTTGTAAACTTTGTCGACTCTGTGTGCCATTTTTGACTACACCCAGTTTTTAGTAATGTGATTTAGCAATGCAAACAAGTTCACTTACAATCACAATTTTTAAAATGAACCATACCTCCTTTTTAGGGTGTTTTTTGGAGGACTGTTAGGGTTAACTGGTTAATACCCAGCTACTTGGCATGGTACATTCCATACAGTTGCATACCCGGTTTGCAAAGAACACTTGGAGACATGACTGCATAGCAACACAGCTTTATTTGGCACTATATATCAAGCACTAATGAAGTGATCCCCAGTTTTATACTTGACACAAACAAATCACAATTGCTGACTGACTGACATGGTTTGATTCATTTATACTTACCCAACATATCCCCTGCTATAATGGAGGTAACCAGTCGTACTAATACATGGAAGGGAATTGGAAAGAAAAACATCATTATATTGAAAATGTGGTCACAATGTGGACTTTGTTCACAGAAGTACATGTGGCTTCCCCCCGGAAAAAAAACCAAAAAAAAACACAAACAAACAAAAAACCCTGCTAAAACAGCAATATCGTTGATAACTGATGCTGACAGACTCCATGATGGCACAAAAACAGTCAAGGTACTGACTGTTCAAGTCTAATCTGCCCGGAGTACGGTTTGTACATCACACCATAACTTTTTACAATGTGGATATTACAGGAAAAGCAGGAGTTGTCACTTATTATTACTTAAACATTAACCACCATCATTCAACACTCATCCAAATTGTAGACAGTAGCCTGAATACAAACAGTAATGGTTTATCTGTTACAAGAAATACATGCACTTACAAAATCCTGTAGCCCAGGATATAAACCATGATGAGAAACTAACTGAGCCAGAGTCCTTGATTCTATAAATTGCCAAAATCTGGATGATCATTCCACTGGCTGAGATGGGCGTAGATAAGGTCTGTACATGTACATGGCAGAAAGATAACAGCAGTTACATTACTGTACAGATCTTCACGCTGGAGTTTATCCTGGTTAGGCCAGAATACGCAGGATACATGTACTGTAACTGTACGCTTATGGCAGTAGCCAGCAAGGGTGGATGCATGGTTTAGATTCTGCCCATTATTTAGCAATATTTGTCCACACTCATGTTCATATTGTAGCGCGCATGCAAAAATTGAAAAAATAAGCCCCATAACCATTGCTCTGGTGAACATCGAAGGTCCAAGGTCAATAAATAGAATATGCATGTGTGCCACTGTGTGCGAATATCATGCACACACAATACACAGGAGAGCTCTAGTACATATGTACGTATGCACAAAACACACACAGAGGTACACGTACATGTGCTTGAACCACCCAGCGCAGACCAAGCGGCATATTGCTGGAATAAAATTCTCCAAACTTCTCTGCAGAAGTTGAGCAAATGAACTGGATTGGTTTGGGGACTTGGATCTGTGTGAATGCCCCTAATAGCAAATTTTTCCTGCACAGTACAGGCACAGTGCTGCTACACATTAGGCTGTGAACAAAATCTGCTAACAGTTCAGGCAGTGGAAGAGTGCATGCACTGTACAAGCTATTATTGGGGTAACATGTTGTCTAGGGCACATGTTACATACAACAATTGGCACAATGCTACCACCAGTTCACACATGTTAATAACCATGCAGTGATCTTGCTCTTGGAAATTGTCTACATGTTTGATACATTGTTGGGTTGTACTCAAACCTTGTTTATGATTCTTTAGTTTCAATGAAATGGGAATTAACTAGCCCAGCAGACACAGGAATGATACTGACAATATGTAGGGCAAAATTCCTCTCTGATGTATGAGATTTGCATTGAGGACAAGTTACATGTACAGTACTGCTGTCTCTATAACCCAAATGAGAACAAGTTTACAAAAATGCCGTCAAATGCTGTGAATTCGTACTAGCAATCTTTTTTTACTTGGGGAAGGTTCATAATGCAATTGCACGTGTGATACCACACGGGCAAGGAGCATAGATAATCAACTCCGCAATACAAATTTTAAATGAAGCTAACCACAGCATTAAAAATAGGTTCTTCGTGAAAAATTCACTCTTAATCCCTTCTTTACTGGACATTTTCTGGAATGAAAAATGGGTGCCTGTAACTGGACACTGTTCAGTGATCAGTAGCATACTCTGGGGACATTCCAGACAGTAAAAACTCACCAACAACAGACTAATGAACCATGGCGGAGTCACGCTGGATGCAACAATCCAAACAGCAATAAAATATCTGAGATTCATGTGTAGGAAAGAAATACTCCATTTGACTGTAAAAAAGATTGAGTAACATTTTTTGAAATATTAAAATTGCCCATGCTTGGTCAACTGAGAATGCTGTTGCTGTGATGTCATTCAGGAAGATGTGTTTTAGTACACAGACGTTTCTTCTCAAATTGTGAACCAAGAATTTACTCTCTGAAAGCATTTTTGAGAAAGGGTTGTTTGCTTATTATGTATTTACACAACAATGAATTATGAATGAATGAATATGTAGCCGAGCAAAATCTAAGAGAAAAATTCAGCATTTTTTTGGAACCCAAACAAACGCAACACTGATGTTCTTTATCCAGATGACATCACATTTTCCTTGATGATATGGAAACCTTGTTGGCATAAAATACACAAAGGAAGAAAATATACCTTTCAAAATGGTGAAACTAAAGTTAAGCGAAACACAAACGCCAATTATGAAGGTTTGCATTTAAAAGACTGCATTGCAGATGCCCTTTAAGGCTATCGTGCATACTTCCTTTTGACACCTATTATTCACCCAATGCTTTAAAGGAGCCAGGAAATAGAAATACATGTTTATTTACAAATTTTATTAAAAACCCTTGAAATTGCATCCTTGGGTTTCAATTAACCTCATTTTAATTTTTTGTTTTGCAATTGTAACCCATATTTTGATGCTTTTTTGGTTTTATACTAATGCTATTTGCATATTCATGAGCAGACTTATGATGTCATCCAAGGCGCTGAATCTCAGTGTTGCACTGATTTGTGCACAGAAACTTCGTAGATTTTTTTAACCACTGCTATGGCAGATTTATTTTCTTTGGCAATTTATAGCTGTGTAAGTATATGGCAATAAGTCAGCAAAAACCTTTTTCACAGAAATGTTCCCAGGTAGCAAATTTGGAATTTGCAATTTGAACATGAAAACATGCAACGTGAACCATGTCTTCCTGGATTTACATCAAAGCAAAAGTATTATTTTTATTACTGTTTTACTGCCACTTACTTGCAACCCTAAGGTTGAATAGCAAAGTAGTACATCAAAATACATTAAAAATCATAAAAAAATATTACAATAAATAATAAAATAATGAAAACATCAAAACCATAAACAATACATATAAGTTATAATATAATAAAGCATTGGGATGATGCACTATGAATGAAGACACATGACATTAATATCCATTGCATACACGAAGACACCTGAGGAAAAATAGTCATCACTAATGCCCCTGTACATATTCGTCTCATCAAATCAGTTATGCACCATTCCAAAATTCCTGAATCATTTTTCAACTGTATTATTCATTCAATCTTGTCAAGTACAGTAAGGGGCTATTTTGAAATGTTTTTGTTGGACCATGGTGGCAGTCAAATTTGAGGGCACTGAAGGGCACTGAATGACTCCTGTTAGATTTGGGAAACCATTCAGGGAATTTGTTAGAACGGAATGGCTTCAAGGAAAATTTACTACACAAGTGTATTCTTCTTTCCTTTAAGGCTTCTAAATCAAGTAAATGCAGAGCTTGATCGTAATTACAATAATTATTGCCAAGAATGATGCAACAAATTCGTCTTTGGATTGATTCCATTTGATTAGATTGTGCTGTCAGCAACGATGGATGCCAAACAGGAACAGCATATTCCATAATTGGTTGCAGGTAGCGTTTATACACACAAACCAATTCATCCTTAATTAATCCCGTCATTTAAGTTTACAAATCATGAACAGCTTACGATTAGCCTTAGTTAGAATGTCAGCAATGTGACCATCCCACTTCAGGTTACTCTGAAGGATGACCCCTAGGAGCTTGACACTAGTCACATTAGGCAGGTGTACATCAGAAATATTGTAGGTGGCTTCTGGGGGATCCTGTCTGCCGAAATACACCTGTTCTGTAAGAAAATCAGCAATCCATTTGACAACCAATGGGGAAACCCCAAGCTCAATAAGTTTATTTATGGCCATCATGTGGTCTATTGTATCAAATGCTTTATAGTTAATATTAATGTGCCAATGTTACCTGGTCTATTTGCACCAGAGATTAAATGATGATACACTGTAGATATCGATAATACAGTGAGTGGTGGACATACCTTTTCAATTGCCAAATTGTCTGAAGTCCAATTTAGAATTGAGTAGATAACCCATTTGCTTACGAAGCTTTCAGCGACCTTTGCAAGCAGAGGAGAGAGATTGGTCTGAGTTTCTGCAAGGTGGGTGGTTGAACTTTTGGTATCGGAACAACATTAGCCAGCGTCCATTGGAATGGAACAACACTCTGCTTAAATGATGAATTTAAGATATTAGAAACTGGAATACTGAATTCGTAAGCGAATTCTTCTAGGATCTTCGCAGGCAGGTTGTCTGGACCGCCAGTTTCATTCGCTGAAATCTTCCTAAGTTCTTTTCAATCTCCCAAGGATAGATTTCAGGAGGGTCTGACATACAGTACTAGGCAAATAGGCAGGTAAAAAGTGCCTTCACTTGTCCAGAAATGCTTGATCAATTTTTAATGTTTGAAAAAGTGCACCATTCAGTTCACGTAACTCAAATACGATGTCAAACAGTCTTCATACATGGAAGAAGAGTACAGGGATACACAAAAAGTGATTCGAAGAAAAACTCATTTCCTGGTTCCTTTAAATTTGATACTAAATGCAACAGTAACAATATGTCGCAGGCATTACATTACTTATAGCCCGACACAAATTTTATGCCAAGACTGCATAAAACCAAGCAATGACTTTGCCTTCAATGACGGTATCAGCTGATTTGGTTTCCAACTGCATGCGCATGTAAATTGTCAGTATTTTTCCTCTAGTCTGTTGGTGCACTTATAATGTATCTGTCAGCCATTCAGGGCTGAGTTTTCATAAGAGGGGATGATCATTACTATAATACAGCAAATATGATAGTGGTTTCACATTTCATTATTAAATTCAGGCTTCCTTACAATGGTTTCATACCAGTTAGCATAGTTTACACTAATCTTACCAGGTTGCATGCACATATACCAGTTCTTTCTTCACCTCAAGTATTACAGTGTATCTCTATTGACAGGCCTTATTTGGGTACTTCCAAATAATTGCTTGTAACATTTAGAAAGTCTATAATTGGCTGCTTAGTATTTCGTTTGTCAAGGATACAATGCACTGTATGGAAGGAGGATAAAGTTAACTTGATCCAGGTAGTGTAGTATCATCAAAATGACAGCCCATACTGAAATATGAACAAAATATAATAACAGTTACCAAGACTGACATCAGTACCCATGGAAACAAATGTACAATTACACTAATATCCCAATGACTAGACCTTTGCATCCCCACTAAATGCACTTCATAATAACAACAAAATGCCCCTTTTTTGGAGGGGGGGGAGTCAAAATCACACAGTTATAGGCAATTGCTTTTGCAAGTTTATCAAGAATCCTCAGAGCTTGTCAAAATCATGGACCTGACAAATAATGTGTACATACAGTACATGTACTGTACGCATACACGGTATGTTAACTTGGGTTTTACTTAAAGAGAGTGTCATTGCTACTAAAGTTGCTGTGTATATGCATTGTAAATGTACAGTATGTATGTATCTGTTAAAAACTGATACATGGATACATATAATGCTACACAGTGATTTATATAAAGTCATCTTCCCCTAGTTTGGGGTTCGTTTCAAAGATAACAGGAAGACAATTCCACTGTGTACCATGTTACTGCCCTCAATATTATTTGTAACTCCTCAGAAAAAATAGTATTTCAAAAAGTGACAGAAGTGATAGGTAGCACTGTTATTACCTTTATTTCCAGTTTCAGTATTTGAACAATTGTTAAGCAGGTTGGGGACCAAACCACAACCACAGACTATGCATAAAGCCGCTCGTTTGTGCAACTTCAAAACCAATTCCTCCGATTGATCAAATTTACAGGAAACATGCTACCCAAGATCTAGATGAAACTTCCCTTTCATTTGGTTCCCTTTTAAAGCAGATCGAGGAGATTTTTCGGTTGAACCTTGCACTGGATGTGTCGAATTTGGTAGGCAGGTGAGGCAACTCTGCCGATGAAAACGTTTACATGAGATAAATTAAGCTGGGCCGAAGTTTACTTTATGCATGAATATGTTGCTATTAAAAATCTCCAGCAATTCACTGTGGCACATTTCATGTTTACTGTGGCGATTTTTCAAAATAGTGATCGGAAACAATTTTGCCATAAACTCCAACGGTAACGGTAACAGCGGCCATGTTGGCTGCCGGCATTTCAAATCTCGTTATTTTCCCAAAATCGTGTGGAAAAATTACATCATTATCACATAACCTGATAAAAAATGATGTCATTACCGCTTGAACAAACAACGTGAACAGAAACTAGGGACTTTGCTAGATTGTGGTTTGGTCCCCAACCTGACAATGAGGTCGCTAAACACACAACCAATTTTCACTTTTTGAGTGGAATTACCAAGTGCCGGTATATTACATGTTGCACTCTTATTAATCTTTAATTTTGTCTCCATTCAGTCTGAAACTGAACGTGCTTACCTTGTACAATGAGAAATAAAAACTCCACATACTGCATGATGGGTTGAGAATTCACAAACATGTAGACGGCAAAAATCGTGTAGCTGCAGAGGCAAAACAAAGCTTGAAAAGTTACTGTGCAATAATTTACATGCGGACCATTTTCTGTCATTAAACTGCTTGGCACTGCCTAGCCTTGGCCCTAGAAGTCAGTGATTAATAGTGGTTTTCGTTATTGTTGTAGAGTGCCATCCAACAACTGTTTTTGACTTTCACTAATGTCCTTCACTCATTTATTCATTGCGATTTCATTAGGAATATCAAACGGAACTCACATGACTGAAAATGTTTGATTTACAATAGAAAAGTTACCTTTAAAGCATTATGCCGTTAAGAGAATTGGTTATTTAAATGTCATTCTGGGGTTGACTGTTTAATGGTTTCAGCATATATATAATTGGACTTAATGATATCCTTGGGTTCTGCAATAGGTTCACCCAAGTGATTGGAATTCATGAATGCACTATTCCAAAGCGTTTGCCGAGTTGATGGTCAAAAGCGGCAGTGTCTAGGAGATGATAACAATGATTTGGCAAAATTAATGATTAACTGTATTCATCTAACAGACAGCTTCTGCATATTACATTTATGCAACAATTCAGCACAGAGCAGCAAATGCACGTTTCTGCACTCTTTCCAAATGTTGAGACTGATTTTTTGATGTGTCAGAAGACCAGATAACTGCTCCATACTCAAAAGTTGAAAGAATATACCTTTTGTACTGTATATTATGATAAGGTCGTCAACACATCTGGATGCATTGGTAACAAGGCATTGTACTCGTTGATCCCGTTTTAAATCATTTTGGATTATGATTCCAGGTAATTTTGTTGATGTAAGGAGCTGGAGTTGAGTTTCATTAATCGTTATGTTTGGCTGAGGCAGTACATGTAAGTTATGTAAAAACGTAAATTTTTGAGGACTGGGTTTCATATCGTTAGTCTCTCACCATTCAACAACTGAATGCACAAAGTTTTGCCTATTTGACTGCTCAGTTCTAGGGACCACTTTAAGTAAGGTGAGGTCATCCACATATTTCCACTGATTGGCCAACATACAAGCAGCATTGTTAACATTACCGGTAGCTAAAAAAAGGGAATCTTGTAGGGATGAGAGCATTGCCATATTAGGTTAATTAGCAATTAGACTGTTGGTATAAATATTAAGGTGTCACATCCAATAACAGAAGGTTCAGGCACCAGGCCCAGTATGCTAATCCCTTTCCCCCAACAAGGGCGTTTCACAATAGTGCGCCTCCAATAGTTTCCTAACACGCATTGGGTCGACAGATTTTGCGCCTTGTGATTGGTCAACGCATTGCAAACTCTTATTGGTAAGGAACCAGATGCTGCCTGGTTACTGAAGTGTGACACGATACATGTACACTGTATGTCCACTGACATATTAGGGTTTGAATAAGCAACATACATGTACTGTACTTCTAGACTACCCCATCAGCATTGACTTGATGTAACTGGCCTGCATTCAAAAACCAACAGTGTTATGAAATCATCCCAAACTTCCCTGTTTTGAGTATTTTCTGTGTTAAAAGGTCTCTTTTTAGGGGGGGGGTAATTTTTCTTTTCTTTTGCTAAACTGAAATTGCGCCAGGAAAGCTACCCAAAACTTAGTAATTTAACTTCTTAACAATCCTGCAGGAGTTATTTTGTTTCTAGTCTGACGTCCTCACAGTATAAGTTTTATACTGTTTATGTATGTATCTGTTTTTACATTGTTTACGTTGTCATATTGTGTGGATTACTCTGTCTTTTTATTCCTGCAAAATAATAAATGAAATCAAATTGGGTGTTGTATATTTGGGGACCCCCTAGTATGCCATTTTAATCTTGTAAACTGATCAGCCCCCCCCCCCAAAAAAAAACCAGGGCAATGCTCTCTTTATTGTGCTGACTCTGTTTTTTGGTAATTTTAAATTGTACATTGTGAGAAAATGTGACTTTCTTACTGATAAGATAAACCAGCCATGCAAATTTGAATCCGCAATGTGTTGTCCTATGTTAAAACAGTTTCCCCTTGTAATTTCCTTCAAAACTAAAAACCTTACCCTCTTTTCATAACATCAAGCCTATAGTTACTAAGCATGATGTCACAGCCATCAACCAAGGTGAATCCAGAAATTAAAATATCGGTCTCTCTTCTAAGTTCTATTATAGAAAAAGGGTCCCCCACTCTACAGGGCCAGTTTGTTTCACATGTTTATCTGGATCTCGATCAGTGATCCCATCGCTGGTTTGCTCCATCCATTAGGCAGGTTTTGGTGTCAGTGAACCAACGACGGATCCGCATGAAACAAACTGGCCTACAGTCCCAATTAAACAGATCTCTAGTTTTTGCATATCGCGCTTGCGCAGTTGCAGTGCCATAATGATAGAAAATGGGAGATGCATTACGGCTGCCGTAATAACAGCCACATCGTTTATTTTAATTCAACTGGGACAAAAGAAATGCAAAATTGTGTCTTAACTGTATTGGACCAAAGTTGAAGCTGGACGAATTTACATTAAAAAAGTCTTAAAGAACTGCCAGGAAAGGAATTGATTGAGGTGTCCAAAGATTAGCGGAGGGATATATATAATTCAGTTGCCCATTTAGCCCAAGTACAAAAAAATTAAAAGCCCAAATTAGAATTTTCAGCAATGTCAACAAATCAATCAAGTCAACAGAACTTTTTAACAAAAAGAATTTGAAAGAAATCCTATATATTAAAAAAACAACAGTGCTAGCTAGCGAATTACTCTAAAAGTAACGATTAGGGCATAGGCCTAAGCCAAAACCGAGTCCAAAGCAGACACAGCTACAGGCCTGAGCAGAGTCTTGCAAGTAAGACACAGAGATGGTAAAAATGTGGTGTTGCCTGAATGCTGCCGGTCTGCTACAAATGGTCAAAGGGTCAAGAGGATTGCACAACCCATGTGCTGGCACTCACTAGGGGGTCTGGAATGTACATGTGCTGACTTTAAAGGGGAAAACACTCTCTAAAACAATGCAGCCTTTTTGTGTAGGCCTACGGAATATTTACCTAATCAACTCAAGAATGAAACTCGACAAACTGACTCCCCTCGCAGATTTTGATTTGTAGAGAGACAAAAGTTGTGGAATCTTGAGAACCACACAGGGAATAACGCAAAAAAGGTTTATTATAAGCAACGCAGACGCCGGCAGGCCACCTTCTGTCACGTCTGTGGACGCCGCCATCTTGCTTATCTCCCTGGTACCCAATATGCATTGTAGTTTACAATAACAATTACATTACACCTTCAGGTAAATTGTGGTGTAGTACCAGCCCAACAGCTCCAGTTGTAGAGCAAGCGACGCCGTGCGCTAGCGGTATCGGGCTGTTACATACATGTACATTGTCATTTTTGTTCACGATACTACTCGCTGACAGATCATCAGCTACTGCTCCGACAATACTGAAGATCTGAAGATATTCGGGGTAATTTTGATTTTATTTAAATCAAAAGTGATGTACTTTGGAAAGAGTTTGATATGCGTATTGTCACCTCTTGCCTGTATGGCTTGAAGTTGAAGTTAGAGACTGGTCTGAAAAACTCGGTTATTCTACATGTTCTAGATCAGGCTGGGGGGTGCCTTCAGTAGGCCCTAGGTGTTTTCTGAGTCAACGACTCGGTATTTTCCCTCCTAACTTGAACTTTTCTGGACATATTTTTGCCATTTTTTCTGATGGCTGATAGGTCACTGTAGGGAATAATTACTGGCATCCCTAGTATATGATAATACGAATCTCTTTCTTGTACTATGTGTTGTCTGGTTGTGGCGGCGTTAATCTGTCCTTCACTAGGCCCAGGCTAGCAGGGGATTGTATACTCATGTAGGCCTAGGCCTACTTGGAACCCCAGTTTTTTGTCATTTTAATTTTGCTGTTAGTTACCATGCATTTTGCACATGCGCCAGTACACGTATGGTACTAGACCAATGTACATGTAGATTGTTAACGAATCGCGACAGAAAGTGTGGAGTTTCACAAGATTTTCTGCAAAATACGTTGTCCATGGGCTTATTTAGTAATTTCTATGCAGCATTTATGGAATTCAGGATACAAAGCGCTTGTGAACGACATTTTGAACTGTCTTGACCTGGTAAAAATATGAGAAAAAATGTTGAAAATATCGCATTGTGGGACGACTTTTATACCCTGGACGTTAGTCACAATGCAGTGTAGACGACGTCCAACCTGGGCTAGGCCCAGGCCTACTTTGTTGTTGCGGTGTTTAGTTGGAGCATTTTCTCTAGCGTTCGTTGCATTTGATCACCCAGTCATGCTGTCAGTCCTCTTCATGCTTTAAACAGTCATGACAGTTTGTATTAGACTTAGGCCTAATAATAAAGGCCACTGTTACGACTGCCAACCAGTGCACGGGCTGGGTGTGTGGGTTTGTGTACAAAATGTACAATAGGCCCTAATGTTAACCTAAAGTTGCAACCTGCAGACCACATTCAGAGTGTGGCACAGCATCTCCTGTGGACTCGTGTCCTCTCCTAACATACATGTATAAATGGGAATCAAGTTTAAGCTGCTGAATAAACCAGTGCAATGTAATTTTTAGTTGCTGAACATAGGGAAAGTGAGTGCGCCAGAAAACATTTGCATATTTGTGCCAGCAGCTTAATTAGCAGTACTAGAATGGGCAAGGATTCAGTGGAAATTACTTTACTTCCAGGTTCTCAGGATCACAGGTAACCTGCTATCTGCCCATTACAGGAATTACATGTAGATACAGGGGTGCATGTACATGTACTGGTACAAATCTATAATTTATGGGAAATGAGCATGGATTAGATTCTAAAAACATAAAGACAAGAATGAGAGAATATTTGAAACAATTTGATGATCAAAAAGACATGTACCGGTATGTGAGGCCTGCCCAGGGTACTGTACATGTAGCTAATATGGCTTATTGGCTTCTGACCTACATACATGTATGATGATATCTCGTACATGGATAAGTCTTACATAAGTCTTACATGTATATAAAGCACAATAAATCATGCAGTGTGTTATTGTAATATGTAAATGACAGTTTTGATGTTGTCGTGTCCTCTGAGGTTTAGTGTGTACCGTACTATACCAGTGCATACTTGGACATACATACTTGTAGATGTTGCACCTCTCATTTTAATTTGCATGTGAAGAAGTCAAATTTCTAAAACATAAAAACTAGGACTATGACCAATTATGTTCCAGTCTGAGTAATGTGAGTCAAAAAATTAATTTTAAATGCAATGTTTATTGTTCATTGCCACAACTATAAAAAACCAAAGAATGATAATTATGTCAGGTGGCCTGGTGGAGAAAAATTAAAATGTGTACCGAGACTACCAGTAGCTTTCAGGTGTTTCTTTGGCACAGGCACTGATGCAATAGGATGTACATGTAGATTGTTTCATGTATTGGCCCTAGTCTGTTTTTCAGTGTTGCATGTTTTCATGTTGCACTCTCGTATGCAGTTGAAATTGTACAAATTTTGAACTGATTTTTTAACATGCTATGCACGTACATGTAGCAGTACACATGTACAATGTTGTATGTACCCTACATGCATTAAATATTTCCATGACAATATGGTTAAGGCCCCCCCAAAAAGAAATAGTCCCGCCTTCCAGTTTGCTGACCGACCTTAATTTTTCGGTGTAACCCTAAACTTTTTATCGGCAAGTTAGAAAAACAAATTTGAAAGAATAAAAAAGATAATAAAAAAATCCTGTTCTTTCTTCACAAAACACCTCTGAACAACTTTTTTTATGTCCAAACACTTGTACGTTTATGCTTTTCTGTTTACATGTACATTTACAATTGTTCAAAAGCAACTTCCATTTTTATCACAAGTTCCCTTTGTATTTCACTATCTCGGTGGTGAAAATACATATACATTGGTCATTTCAATGAAGCAATGCTACACTTGTTCCCACTGCGCCATTACCAAAGAAGGCATGATGGAAATGCGGCAACCAGTCTACCGGTACGGTATACATGTACGTACATGCCAGGCAAAATAGCATGGTTGCACTGTACACCATAAACTGTACATGTACATACCGGTATGTACATGTACATGTTTATAGCTCTACAGCTCTATATTGAAAAAACATTGATGTTGCAAGCAGATTTTTGCAAGTTAGTTCACAGAACTTTGATCTCTTGGCTACATGTACATGTATGTATGTATGTATGTATGTACAGGTATTTTCTGTGCTCATAAATTTTGAGGTTGTATTGCTCGTACTACATGTACATGTACATGTATGCTAGTGCTTGAATCAAGTGTGTTTCCATAAAATTTCCTGCCGCAGCATGAGGTTTATCGCCCATGCATCATACACATTTTCCCTGTGATCAATGTTCGCCAGTTTCTCATCATGATTACCGGACTAGCGTTGTATGCTGGTATAGTGGTATGAATTCAATTGTCTTTCATTCTTAAGAATTGTCGACTGCATATTTTTCATTGATGAAGGCAAGTTTTAATTTTTTGTGGCAATTTTTGGTAGCTTTCATTCCTATTCAATTAGCACACAAAAACTGACCCCAAAAGAATTTCCCAACCTACTGTACCAACTGTATTTTTGAGAAGCATCAGAAGCAGAGCAGTTTTTTCGTGGTCTAATTGTTTTCAGTGTTCGATTAAACTACACATTTATGGGAGCACAGTGGACATCGAACCCCTCTGTTAAGTTGATGATAATGTACCAAGTTACATGTACCCCAGTGTCATGAATTTAGAGCATATTGCTACCATGCCAATAAAGCAGTGCTGGAACAATGAATATAAAAGCCAACTATTAAAAAAAATGCATCAAGTTGAGTGAAATTTGAAAACTACTTGAGAAATTCTTCACTGACACTGCCCTTGCTAACTGTACATGTACATGTACATGTATGGTACATTTAGGTCCCCACTGTAAACTTGTACTACTATACATGTACATGTACAGTACATGAGTACTGTACATGTACTGTGTACAATGTGTGTGGTCCCACAAATGATGGAACAATACTGTACATGTACATACAGTGCCTGTACATGCCTGTTTTGGTACATGCACAAATTGGCGGGGATCACTATGTACATTGCACAGTTACCGGTACTTGAAAAATGTCAGTAATTCATGTACTTGTGCCCAACAACACCGGCTTCACAGCAGACAACTACATGTATTCAGAGGTGATTTATTTTAGAGGAGGATGTGATAGAATACTGCAAAATGCATGTAGTACCAGTAGGCCTACATGTACGGTATCATGGGTGCTGTGCATACCCAAGCTACCGGTATACGATTATTTTCCTGTGTCACTTAACAATTGATGCCTTTATTACCATGCTTTGTGATTGTGACGTAGCATTACATGTATAAAGTGTTTCATCCAGAATTAATTTTGGATTTTTTAAAATGAGATGCATACAGGTACTGGTGCAAGCCAAGGAAAAACTCTTCAGTCGAAAATGTAAATGTTGGGATAAAAAAATACCAGGTCACACGACCTCCCTACTGTACTTGAAAATTTATCTCCAGATGTACACGTGGAAATTCTAAGGAGGCTCTGAGACCGTGAACAGGTTAAGCAGTCGTGTTGAAATAGATGTACATGTAATGCATATTATGCTTGACTGTTACCATGCATGTGTTTGTGCTTGATGATGTAATATTTGCAATGCTTACAGTGTAAAGTGCCTGCATTGTGTGGCTTTCACTTGTTTCAGTGCTCACAACTGTACTGGTACATTTACATATAAATTGATGTTTGGGCCTGTTAATTTTTAGAAATTGACTTGGAGAAAAATTGTAAATGACTGGTGAATAAAAATATGCGTGCCAAGAGACTGATACCGGTACTTAAAAAATAGACAAATTGAAGATGATCAGCTTCTGACCTACATTGTTTGCAAATGAAAAAAAATGAATGTGCATGTACGGTACATGTAGGTGTACTCTACGGGTACAAAAAAGCTAATAATGTAGGCCCTGCTTGCATTGAATATAACTGTAGGTGTGAACAGAATTCATCAGTCTGTCGGTAAACTTTGGGACATGTGAATGCTTCATTACAACATCAAAATCAAATCATCTTCATCTCGATACTCAGGGAATGTACATTTGTACATGTACATGTAATACTGCACATTTACGGGCATATAGTTGCACATCTCGTGTACCGGTACAGTGTAATGTGAATAATTAATTCTTTTAAGACTATATGAAGTAACTTCCACCCCCCCCAAAAAAATAAATAAACTAAACATAATAAATCATGTTTTCTGTTACCCAAGTCAACCTTGAAACATGTAATCATGCAGAACTCATGTTTCAAAAATTGATTAAAAAATGTAAAAGAACTACATGTATAACCCTCTAAAGAGGTACAGTACACCTGTACATGTAGCGGGTATACATGTAACTCTATACGCGTAGTGTACT